CTCTCAGTCCTGTCGAGCTTTATGGATTCCTCCGGAGGGAATGTGACCCTCCAGTGTGTCTCACAGCTGGGGTCTAGAATGTTCATTCTGTATAAGGAGAGAGAACACAAGCAACTCGGGAGGCTAGTCTCGCATCAACGCTCCAGTGGGCTTTTCCAGGATTCGTTTTCAATGGACTCTTTGATCCCTAACAACACGTTGACATTCAGATGCTACAGCTTTTTTGAGAACAATCCCTATGTATTGTCGCACCCCAGTGACAGCCTGGAGCTGCCAGTTTCAGGTGAGGAAGTCGTGGCCTCATGATTGAGTGTGGTCAGTAGGGTCCTCTATCCCATGCCTCATATTCTCTGCATAGTGTGCACCCCAGGTCCCAAATGTACCAGGTGAGTTGGAGGGAAATATTGAGAAGGCTTTGAACTGAGATGAAGGCTTCCAATAGTAACATTAGCTTCTCCCACTCTCCTTGTTCTAGTCCCAAGATCATCTGGGGAACCCACATCTCCAAGTGCAGAGCACAACTCAGTGACTGGTAAGTCCCAGGGACCTCTGCCCAGAGAGTGTCCCATTTCTCTCAGGTCTTTCTTGTGAGTGTCTCAGCTGATCTAACTCTTGTTCCAATTGTTAGGCATTGATGGGGAGTTGGACAGATGAGGGGGTGACTACAGGACTCCCTGGTGATCTGTGGTTGTAATGGGAGTAATGAATTGGGGTAGCTATATTCTACATAGAGGGGCTTCCAGGCTGGAGGAAGATCATCCAGCATAATATGTGTGAGAGCATCATTCCCACTCCCCATCCCCTGCCAGGAAACCTGAAAGTGCTGTGTGAAGAAGGGCTATTGATTTAAGGTGAATTGGGAAAAATCAGCAGTGGAAGGGGTATTGCAGATGGTGATTTTGGACCATTCCCTTTTCTATTTGGGAGTCAGTGTTTCCATTTGTAGGAGAATAGATCTTAGCTGAGTTCTCAAAGGATGTTTTCTCTCTGCCCACCTGGGAAGCTGGTCCAGGTTTTTAGGCATGAAGGATGCTGTGGCAGAGAAGAGAGAAGGGCATAGATAAAGCCCAAGGTGGTGGATCCTTTTGCCATTTGAGGGGATTTGTGAGCACATGGGGTCCCAGAGGCAATCTCTAAGTTGCTCCCACAATTGTAAGATGAATGTATGTCAGTAGTGGTTATGCACAAAAATCCATCACCTCCATGATTCCACATGTGACTTCCTGACACGCCCACATCCTGGGAGGCAGGAGGACTAACTGGATTAGGGGCTTTGGGGTGTGGGAGATGCCTGGGTGTGAGCAGTGCTTACTGGAGAGAGAATCATCTGTCCCAGCACTGAGGCATGAGTGATGAGGGCACCAGCTTTCTGAAACATCTGTAATCCTGTGGACTTTGGTCTTGTATGGAAATCTGGAAGTTTGGTGTCACACTTTATGACAGTGTCTACATCTTCAGTACTGCCCTAGAGACCTCGGGATGGAACTCCACATGTCACCTGCACATCTGTCCAACTGGACATGTGTCCAGGGCGAGGCGTCCCTTGGTACCATCCTCACTACACCCCTGCATAAATTGAGTATCTGACATGCAGTCCCTTAGTCAATTCCTGTAACCTTTGTGGGAGGTGTTAATATGAAACTGTAATGTTGTGGCACTGTGGGTTAATGTGATGGACTGCAAAGTCAATTTGAACTGCAAGGTTGGTGGTTCAGGCTCACCATCTGCTCCTCAGAAACCCTATATAGGGTCGTTATGCATCGGAACCATGCCAGAGGCCCTTAGCAACAATAACATATTGTTGTTATTTGCTGTCTGAATCCGTTCCATTTCACAGTGACCCCATGTGTGTAGAGTATGCCCCATAGGTTTTTCAAGGTGTTCCTGCAGTTTGGGGCGCTCAGAATGCCAAACTTGTGGCTATTAGTAGAGCAGTTAATGGTTCCTGCCACCTAGGGAGCCTTCTGAGTTCTTTGATTCCAGCCAACCAGCACGTAGCCATGGTGTCATTGATGCAGCTGTCTGGTGGGAACAATATCAAACAATATCAACAGAAAGCGAGGATGTAGAGTTCAGAGAGTGTGAAGTTAAGTTCCAGTTCAGCCACCTTTCAGACTGGAAGGTTGGGGGCATGTGATTGACTTCCCTGAGCCCCAGCTTCCTCATCTATAAAATAAGGGAGGGGGAGGTGACAATTGTCTGTTGTATGGTTGCTGTAATGATTGGAGCTGATGAATGGGGAGACCCAGCAGGTGCCTGAGTGCTCAGTAAAATGCGCTTATTCATAACATTCAGTTCATCAGTGACATCATTTGTGTCCAGAAGGTCTGAAAAGGTACCTGCATGTTCTTATAGAAGTCTCTGTCCTCCTTGTCCTCCTGGTCCTCGTCGTCCTCATCAGACATTGGCACTGGAGAAAACACAGGGAATCAGGTGAGTGGAATTCTGATGGGCTTATCTGGGCTACTGGGAAAGTGAAATAGTACTTTGCAAACAGATTTCTTGGTCATCAGTCAAAATTAGGCATCTTAGAGATGAATGTTTGTTCAGTTTTGATAACGTGACCAAATAAACCACAAGCGAAGTCTAAAGAACCTTTTTCCATTCTAGCTTCCTGCATGATCTTGGGATTCCAAGGAAGGGAAGTGGTGAAGGGAAGGGATCTTGGACAGAGGTCGTTGTGCTGTATCCAGTGTTTAGGAAGCACATAGGGAGTGGGCAGGTATTTCCATGTGAAGTTGTCAGCATCTCTCAGTCAAGGAAGCAGGGCTGTAGGGAGTGAGTGTGGAGTCCTGGTGATGTACTGTAGGATAAGCACTCGACTGCAAAGTCAGCTGTTGAAACTCACCAACCGCTTCCCGGAAACCCTATACAGAATCAGCATGTGTGGGAACTGACTCCATAGAACTTAATCACAACAACAACAAATGGATGTGACAAGTTGGTGAAGCTCTCAGAGTGGGTGGAATCCTGTTAACTTCGGAGAAATGTATAAATTTATTGAAGCTAACGGAAATTGTGGGTTATTAGTTTCCTATGGTTGTTATAACAAAATGCCAGAAGCTGATAGCTTATAAAACCAGTGGTGAACTATAGAATTCCACATAAATCTGCTGGCCTTGTCATCTTCCCTCCAAAGACTCTGGAGAAAGTCCTTTCTGGTTTCTTCTCAGCTTCTGGTAGACCTAGGCATTCTTGGCATGTAGCTTCATCTTTTCACGCTGTCCTTCCTTTGTCTGTCTGTCTTTGTGTATTTTCTCTTCGTTTATAAAGACTCCACTGATGTGCGACATGAACTCTTGTTTACTTGACCAAAGCCATTTTCAGACCCTGTTTTCCTGGTGTGGCACTGTGGGATAAAGCACTGGACCACAAGGTCCATTCGAATCACAAGGTCGGTGGTTCAAACTCACCAGCCGCTCCTCAGAAACCCTATACAGAATCACACTCTATATACAGTGCTATGAGTCGGAACTGACTCAACAGCACTTAACAACAACATTTTCAAACAAGGTCATAATCACAGGTACCAGAGATTAGAACTTCAGCAAATCTCTTTGGAGGGGGTGGGGGCAGGTGAGCAATTCAATCGATAACACCAAGATACTCATTAAATGAGGGAAGACAGAAAGCTAGAAAACAAATAAACCAACATGTTCTCTTGGTATTTGAAGTATCAGAATGTCTTTATTAAAATAATCTGTTTTTTTTTTTAAATCAGTTGATACAGAAGTAGTCTATATGCTTTGATATTTGTGCATATGTATGTGCAAATACATGTTAACCAATGTTTTCTAGTTTTGCTCATGCAGAAGACCTAGAATTGGCAATTGCCCCAGTAGCAATGGTGTTACCAACCATCCAGATCTTAGTTTGTAATACTAGCATCTACTAAATGCTACTGAGAGCTTGGTGGCTCTGTAGGATAAACATTAGACTGCGATCCAGAAGATTGGAAGTTCGAACCTACCAGGTATCCCTTGGGAGAAATATGAGGCTTTCTGCTCCCAAAAAGATTTATGGCCTCTGGAAACCTACATTGGGTCGTTTTGAGTTGGAACTGACTTGATGGCACTTAACAACAATGCCACTGAATGTTATCAGGACACCTTGGAGAAATTTCTCATTACAGGGTGATATGGGAATGTACAGGATGAGCCATAAAGTAGAAAAATGCTCAAAGAGTGATGGGAACAAGTCACTATCATATAGAAGCCAGACTGAAATGTCTAAATCTTGCAAAATCTGAACATGAAAGTAAATAATGAGAATACAGGATTATAAGAACTAATTCTAACATAATTTCATTAATGCAACTGATATCAAGAAATGAACGAGCAATAAAGCGTATGCAAATAAATAGGTTGCAAAGAAATCAATGTGGAAGGAGTCATGGGAATAAATATTCATCATTTGGTAATCATCCTGGTGAGTGAGTCCCGTGGACTTATTTGTGGATGCTTAGGGTGGAGATTAAGGAGCTCTGGTAGCGTAGTGGTTACGAATCGGGCTGCAAACCTTAAGGTCAGCGGTTCGAAACTACCAGCTGCTCCACGGGAGAAAGATGAGGCTTTCTACTCCCGTAAAGATTTACACCCTCGGAAACCCTGTACAGGGTCGCTATGGGTCGGAACCGACTCGACGGCACTTAACAACAACAACAAGGGTGGAGATTAAGGAGCTCTGGTAGCGTAGTGGTTACGAGTCGGGCTGCTAACCTCAGGGTCAGCAGTTTGAAACCACCAGCTGTTCCGTGGGAGAAAGATGAGGCTTTCTGCTCCAGTAAAGATTTACAGCCTTGGAAACCCTGTATAGGGTTGCTATGAGTCGGAACTGACTCTACAGCACATAACAACAACAACAACAAGGGTGGAGGTTAAAGACTTGATGAAAGTCTGTATTTGACTAATATTTGAATATCTTCCCATGAAATTCTAATCAACTACTAAGGGAAAGTTGTCTTCTTTGGTAAAGTGTCTGTTCATTTCCACTGTTCATTTTGTAATTGGGTTGCTTGTGTTTTTCTTATAGACGTGTCAAAATTTTCTGTAAACTTTAGAAATGAATCCCTTGTCTGATGTGTCATTGCACAAAACATTTTCTCCCATCTGTAGGCTCTCTTCTTACTCTTGTCGTGTAACCTTTGGATGCACACAAGTGTCTCATTTTTAGGAGATCCCAGTCCTCTATTTTGTCTTCTGCTGTTTGTGTGTTTTCAGTTATGTTTGATGGTATATTTATGCCATGAATCTGAGCCACCAAGTTTGAGCCTGTGTTTCCATTGATGATCTTTATAATTCTAGGTTTTACATTTAAGTCTTTAATCCATGTTGAATTCATTTTTGTATATGGTATGAGATAGGGGTCTTGTGTCATTCTGCTGCAAATAGATTTCTAGTTTTGCCGGCAAAATTTGCTGAAGAAACTATCTATTCCCCGTTCAATGTGTTTGAACTCTTTGTCAAAGATCAGCTGACTGTATGCGAATGGATATACTTCTGGGTTGTCAGTTCTGTTCTATTGACCCTGTGTCTTTCCCGTAGTACCAGGCTGTTAGTACACAGTGACTGTGTAGTAGGTTTTGAGATCAGGAAGTGAGAGCCCTCCTACTTTGTTCTTGTTTTTGTAATGCTTTGCTATTCTGGGGTTTCTTTTCTTTCCATATAAAGTTAATGATCCGTTTTTCCATCTCTTTAAAAAATGATGCTGGAATCTGAATTGGGATAGCATTATATCCATAAATTGCTTTGGACAGTGTTGACATTTTCACAGTGTTAAGTCTTCCTATCCATTAACATGGTCTATTGTTCCATTTTGGTAAGTCTCTTTTAGTGTTTTGTAGTAGTGTGTTGTAGTTTGCTTGGGATTGGTCTTTTGTTTCTCTGGGTAGATTTATTCCTAAGTATTTCATCTTTTGGGTGACTGTCGTAAATGCTGTTGTTTTTCTGTTGTTTTACTATAAATGAATCTGGCTGCTTTTTGTATGTTGCGCTTGTACCCTGTGACTTTGCTAAGTCTTTCAATGAGTTCCAATCATTTTCTTGCTGAGTCTTTGGGATTGTGTGTGTATAGAATCATATCATCTGCAAATAGAGTTTTTACTTCTTTCCCAATTTGGATACCTTTAGTTTCCATTTCTTACCTTATAGCTCTAGCTAAGTCTTTCAGCATAATATTGAAGAGGAGTTGTTGTTGTTAAGTGCTGTCGAGTCAATTCCAACCCATAGCAACCCTGTATAGAGTTTCCAAGGAGCAGCTGGTGAGCTCGAACCACTGATGTTGCAGTTCAAACGGCTTTGCAGTCTGGCGTGAATGATAAAGGGCATCCTTGTCTGGTTCCTTTTCACCAGGAGCCAGGAGAATGCTTTTAGTTTCACTCAATTAAGAGTGATGTTTGTTGTTGGTTTTGTATATGTTGTTGTTGTTGTTGTCAGGTGCCATCGAGTTGGAACCGACTCATAGCGACCCCATGCACAGCAGAATGAAACAATGCTCGATCCTGGGCCAA